TGAAACTTTACTTTCACTCCGAACGAATTTTCTTTATCTGTGCTTTCGAGGTTTAATTCTCAATGTTTCTGCTCGACCGCGCAATTTATCTTCTTCCTTGTCCCAAATTATTTTCCATCGGGTCCCCTTTTACTCCCAAAACGATAGACCCCGCCATAGCTGATCATTAGTCACCCCCACCCCTTGAAGGACATGGGCATACAATAGGCATTCGCTAGAAACCTGCTAACAAGATTTAGTTGAGCCAATTTGATCCGACACGAAACGTGTCCGTTGTGCAGAATTGTTAAGAGTGGCATGGAAGGAAAGTTAAAGAAGTAAATGGAAGGAAATGAATGAGATTCGGGTACACACATTGGGCAAGTTTATTATTAGCACCAATCGTGATCGTCATGTAACTAACGATGACGGAGCGATAATGGGATAATGATGGGTTGTAGATGAAAAGAGGATGGAGATGTTGCGAAACTCTCTATGCCTAAAAATATGAGATTCTTAGATAAAGTCCGATAAATCAACATGGGGTTTTTTACAGGAAACGTGATCGGCACGCTGCCTTTCGAAGCGGCGGAGACATCAAAAGAAACAAGCGATGTTGAGCTACGTGTTGTGAAGGGAAATGATTTGGTGGATGTGAAGCCTGGCAGTCACGATTTGATTCTGAAGAAGGGATTGGATAGAGATGAGGTAATTTGGGAATGAAGAAAAAGTTGGAAGAAAAACGTTGGAGGTGTCGCGTTCCAATCTGCTAAGCTACAGTGTTACTTATATGATTTATGGTTTTTTTAGAAACACGTACCTCTTTTTGATTAATTGTAGTTTTTGAAAATGTCTTCAGAATACTTTCTTCCCTTGAAGCAAAGACATGGTTCTGATTTGGAGCCGGTGTTAAGCTCCCTAAAAACTCTTTTTTAATTCTTACAGCTTCAACATTTTTGAATTCACTCAGGATCTGCTATTAATCAAAAACGTGTCTCAAATATTCCACACAATATCACAAAATTTGCCGCTAGACTCTCCTATTTTTGATCCTTGAATGAAGAGATAAACACAACCTGTTGCGCTGCATTCAAAGTTCAAATGAAGCGAATTTATGTTTGCTCTTGTCTTATCACAGTATGTTCTCTCCATTTGCTTTCATTATCTCTCTCCCCAATTCTATTCTGTTCGTGATCATGAAATCTGAGGCGGAGCTCTCTCTGAGAAACTTAAATATAGTTGAGCATTGCGATGCGTCGGAGTCTTGCCTTCGTTGTTGACAGACCATTCTAAGTGGTTAGCGTGTAAAACAAAAGAGCACTCGGTATTCATCGCTCGATGTCTATTTCCTCTCCTATTTGGGAGTGGCTGAGAAAGTCTAGGCTTTTCTTTCTAAGACGTACCATTTTGAGGGACACAAGACACTTGGCCTACAAGTTTTATGGCGCGTTAGTCAATGATGAACCGAAAAAGGAACGGATCAGGGGAAAAGAAGAAAATGACACCTGTATCCCGCAAAATGAAGGCAATTTTTTGATCGTATAATTTCAGGGAGTCGGCAAGTTTGAAGCTGTCGTCGAATGCCGTTCCTCTAATCTGGATGCCGATTTCAGTCAGGTATGGGAGGCAATAATAGAAGAAAATGATCGGAAATGACAGATACAACTACCAATGAAAAAGAAACACGCTTCTCTGTTCCTAATCTGATAACAATTGATGAATAATTGCAGTTGAACATCTCGGTTTTTGTGACCGTCAAAGACATTAACGACAACGCGCCAGTGTTTAGATTCAGCCGAGTACTTTGTAGAAATAAAGGAAGAACTGCCAACTGGTAAAATGATGTCAAAACAACTTTGGGACTCCGAGTTCATTTTTTTAGGTACAATTGTATTCACGGATTTCGAAGCCACAGACAATGATCAACCGGGACCAAACAGTTTCGTACAATACTCAATTGTCCCGGGACCACACTCTCACTTCTTGGAAATCCCCGACCCTTTCAAACCAGTGATCACTATTAAGGATCGCATTAATTACGAGGAGATCAAAAAGTTTTCTGTAGAAATCGAGGCGAGAGATCAAGGAGAACCCAGTTTGGCATCAAAAGTGCCGTTACATGTGACAGTTGTTGATGTGAACGACTTGCTGCCGAAATTAAACATTCGCACTATACCGCTAAAACGCAGAAGGTAGGTTCAACTATAGTTTGGGTTTAGAATCAGATTGAAACCTAAAAAAACGTTTCGAAATGTTTCAGAATGGTGTATTGGTTTTCGAACCGGAGGCTATCTCGGCACAAGATGGCGATCGTCTCAACGCTTCGCTGATCTTTTCTCTGTCCGGAGGTATGTAAGAAAAGAAAAATGCCCATATCGTTTCATACTTCATGTTGCGTGGCTTAATGCAAAATGGGGAGAAGATATAGAAATGAGACGAAAAAAATTATTTAAAAAAAAAACATCAAAAGCATTGGGATGCCATTAAAAATAGATATATTAAAGTCTATCATTTGTTTCAGGAATATACAAAACATTTTAAAAGATGAATACAAAAAAGTGAAAAATCTCAGCTCTCGTCAATTTGGTGATTTTCTGAAAATTGCCGGTTGAAACTGAAAACTCTAAACCACTTCTAAAAAAACGGGAGTTATCAGTTTTTGTGAGACCTCCAAAAAAATTTGAGAAGCTTCTAGGTTTTCAGAAATGGACGAAAATAGAGACTTTTCGTTTTTGAATCGGTTTTCTGAGATTTTTGATTTTTTTTTTCAATAATTGCAGAGTAACAAAAATGGAATTCGACAAAAATTGTTTAACATGTGGAAACATGCGTATTTTCTCTTTTAAAAAACGTATTTTTCAGAACTTTCGGAACATTTCGCGATTGATAACGACGGAAGCATCCGCTCAATTACCTCAAACCCCCCACAACGGGCCACTTTCTTTGTTACGGTAAGCCATTTCCATTTTTTGTTCGCGTTTTCTCTTCATTTCTTCTATTTCTGCCGTGTTTTTTATCTGGTTCATTGAACAACTTCAAGATGTGCGTTCGATTTGATTTCTATTCAATTCCGCACATTCAATTTAAGGCAATAGTGTATGCACCTTTTAAATGTTTTTTCGTTTACAAGTTAGAAAAAAATACAAACGAGTAGAATTGTCCTTGGCGCCACAGTTGCACGGTTCTGAAGATTCTAATTGGTACCGAATTGTTTGAAACACACATACACGGCGATGAAAGGTTGAGGAAAATGATGGATTTTGATTAGAAGATCAACAGTAGGTAAAGATCAGAGAGAACAGGGACGAGAAATATGCGCAAAATTCTAATTCGCTCATTTTTTTTCAGGCAGCTGAAAAAGACGATCCGGAGCGAAGCAGCACCGCAATCTTATCCATCAGACTACAGCCATCTCTAGCCTTCCAGCACAACACATACTCAACAACGGTTGCTATTTTGAATAACTGTCGTTTTGAATAAAAAGTTATTTTTAAGATTTCTCCGTCTACCCCAATCGGATCTACAGTAATCACAGTCACAGCAAACTCGGAAAATGTGAGTTTAAAATTTCCTATTTAGTTTTGAGATTTATTTTTCAGAACGCGTCTCTCACTTATTCTCTTCTTGCTGACACTAATACAGTATCCATCGATGAAGTCTCTGGAAATGTGGTGCTCCGAAAAAAGCTCGAAAAGCCGGAAACACTGAATGTGACTGCTAGTGATGGAGAGAACGTTGTCTCCACAACTCTGCACTTAATGACAGCCAACTCTGAAGAAACATGCCGAACACCTGTCAAATTTGAGAAATTCGAGTACCGTATGACCATTGGAAAATTAAATGTGCTCGGAGTAGTCAATGCCACATCACGAACTGGAAACAAGCTGACCTATATTTTGATGAACATGAATAAGTAGGATTTTATGAAATCGGGATTTTTTAATCTGTATTTTTTCAGTGACTTCGAAGTGGACACCAATGGAGTGGTGAAACTCTTACCGAAAGCACATTTACAATGTAAAACTTGTGAATTGATAGTTGTGGCAAAGGATGGAACCCAAATGGCTATCACTAAGGTCAATATCGACAATCCGTCATTTGTATTACACTCAACTACAACTTTTGCATTGTTGATAATGATCATCCTTTGTCTAATTTTCGCGATGTTGGCTATTTTGGTGTGCCGAAAATTTTGTGAAAAGTGGAAGCAAGGAAATCGGCGTTCCAGCATTTGTTGGCTCAATGGAACCACAGATACAGGAATTTCAATCACCACAACGACACCGATCAATTCTAGGTGAGCATAATTTTGATTTCCAGAGGATTCAAAGTTTTTGAATTCAGGTATGTGGTGAATAGTGAAAGAGACCGCTGCTACGAATCCAAGTCGCCCGGACCAAAACGTTCCCAAGGCGCTCATCTGGTTCCAGTCACTGTGGTGTCCGATGGGTCTGGAGCTTCACCTACTGTTTATTTTTAAAATTAAATTTATTATATTATTGTCTATTCCTTTTCCATTTTTCCCTCACGCCCTTCACCTTACTGGTCCTAATTTGTTCGCTTCAACTAATTTTGCAAACTGTCATTGTAAATATTTTTGCTCTTTCAACAACTCTTTCACTTTCCTGTCGGTGATTTCCTGTTTTTTTTTCTTCAATTTCTTCAACAAGTGCTCATTCCAAATTATCCGTTTTTTATTGTCACAGATTCAGACGCTATACTTCTCTCTTCACTTTGCAGTTTCATTTTTTCAAACTACAGGGTAGATCTCAAATTCTGATAAATGTTTCATTTTGAGAATAACTATATATTTCTATGAATGTTGTGATGAATTTTTAGTCAAATTTGTTTTCAGAAGAACAATAACCTAATTTGTTTCTGACTTCGAAAAACGAAACCGAAAATCCAAATATTCTTTGAAAAAAAGGTATTCTTGCCCTTGTTGAAAGCAGAAAGCCTTAATTCTGTTTTTATTTTTCTTTCATCTTTTTTTTGGTAAAGACTTTTTTCTCTGGTTCCCTCATTCCTCATTTTGAGCGAGACTCACCATTGTTTTATTTAGTTTTGTTTGCAAACACACACATACGCTGACAGCTGATGTACTTTCCACGAATGGCAGCTGTTTTTTGTGGAGTTTTTCACCAAAATTCTTTTCCTTCTTTGAAAAAAACGTTTTTTGTCTTATTCTTCTAAACACCGATAATTCATTGAAAAAGGAATTATTCACATACAAAAACAAAATTGAAAACTTTGGCAAATTTGAACAAGAATTGTAACTGAAAGGAGCAAAACGAAAGTGGAAAGATCTTCTTAACCGACTATATAAATTTGAGAGGAGCAGAAAATGGCATTTCTGATATGAACTGACTTCGAAGTGTATTACTATTTTTTACATTAGAGCGGGACTCCGAACGAAATTCTTATTAGATTAAAATGTGTAGACAATTATGAAAATCAAAGAAATTTGCAAAACATTAAAAAATCGCTTTCAAATGCTAAAATCTTTGTTTTCATCTATTTCTGGACTAGTTGGTTCAAGCTTTTTTTTTTGAATTCTCTTCAAAACTAAAACTCGCTTTTTTCACTTTTCTATTGGTGGCCTAAAATTTTCAGTTTTGGCGGAAACTTGTTCAAAAATTGATAATGTTTTAGAAATTTTCAGAGTAATAGGAAAACTGGGGGGTTTTTTTTTGCAAACTCACTTCTGGAAGTTTTGAAACAAATATATACCATGAATCTACACATTTTTCTGAAAATAATTCAGAGTTCTCTTTTAATATCCAGGAATGAACTTTGGAAATTTGTGCAAAATTATGCGCTGGAAAGGAAAGTAACCAGGAAAGAACAAATTAAATATGTAAATAATAATTAGATATGATAACTAGCTAGAATGACAAGAGAAAAAATGTTTTCGTTTGGATTTTTAGATAAACTGATTATCCGTATGAACCACCGTTTTGTTTGTTGTTTGTTGCGTTTTTGAACATATTATATGGCATTGGTGCTGTTGGCACAGGGTCGAACGATGATCCGCTCGATGATCTGGGTGAAAATATTTGTTGTTTGAAGTTACTGTAGTTCGATTGATGAAATTGCCATATAATTATTGTTTCAGGCCTTTATAAGTTTTGTTGCTACTAGATAAATTTTTATTTTCCTGAGAAAACTTCTAATCATTAAGGATGTTTTTTTTCGTTCAGCTCGAGTTTCTGGATGAACTGGCATAGATTTAAATGGGTACATCTTTCTGGAATAGCGATTTTGATGAATTTAATATTGTAGTAAATCAGCTCCGAAACCAGATTCATTCAACAAAAAAGCAATTCATCATTATAATCATCTACCGAAAACCTCCATCGCTCATTTTGCGATTTCAGTAACCCATTTTTTGAAGCTAATCTATTCTAAAAAGCCTTTCTACATTTTCTTTTTCTCACAGATATCAGTTTTTGCTACTAATTTTCGTTTTGAATTTTTCAGAAATTTTAAAACTATGGTTTTATTTCTAGTTCATAACATGACTCACCTTCTATGCAAAGATTGTTGCATCATGGATCCAGATGATGTTCTAGCATGTTCGGATAATCTGAAATGTATCATGTTTCACTCATTTTTTGCTTTCTCTTTCGTTTCTTTTTCTCGAGAAAATCTCAGAGTACACCTCTCCAATTTCTTCTCCTCCATACTACTCCTTCATGTTTTCAGAACATATCCCTAACTCGTAAGCCACAAGACAAAATAATGACTCCTCGATTTTCTTTTCTGTCGATTTTCTTTTTCCTACGAAAACCTTACCCTCCTGCTGTCACTCCCAAACGTCCTTTCTTCTTTCTTTCCTGTATTTTTTGCCTTATTTCCTCCATTCGACTGAGAGCTTCGTCTCCGCTATCTGGAAAAAATAGATGCACAACCGAGCATAGCAGAAAAAAAAATTGAAGAATGGGCGGAGCAAAAAAAGAAGGCGATGGAGAGAAGAGTGCTGCTCTCTTTACATGTCAAAGAGAAGAAGCGGTCTTCTTCTCCTCTTCTTTTCCATTTTTTTGCGTTTTTCTTGACTATACTCCGAGACTCAATACTCACTTTTATCCACCATCGCTGCATACTTGTCCCTTTCGGTTCTGAGCTCATTGATGAGCAGTTCCTGAAAAAAATTTCCTGCATTCATAAATAAATATGAGATAGAAAAATATTGAAGTGATCCTTATCGAAAACTAAAAATAAAATTGCTGCATCATACGTGAGAAAAAAGGTTTGTTTGAGAGTTCCGCTTTCCAAAAATTTTCTATTTTAGAAATCTCACTTTTTCATAGTTCTCGTCTCGTAATCTATCAATTTGAGCCTCAAATGTGTCTGTTATCGTAGCCAATGTTGATTTACGCCGCTCCGTTTCGTCACCGAGCGTTCTGAAATAGAGAAGCCTTTTTTAATTTTCTCCAAATATTTTTCGACTATTTTCAGCATAGGAAAAAAAATCCAAAAACATACTTTCTCAAGTCGTTGACCATCCTCTCCAACTGCTGAATTTTCTCATCTTTCGATTGAATGCTCTTGCGCATTCGGATGAGGTCCTCCGTGCTTCCGGGAGTCGTCGTTCTCTGGAAAATGTGAATTTGAGGACCGAATCATCGTAATTTTTCATCAGCCAATTGCCTTTTTCGCGCCGTTTTTCTTTTTTCTTGATGTGACTCGTCCTGACGAGTGAATACATAGCCAGGGTAAACGAGTATTTTTGGGACATTGGCTGGGACGTATTCCAGAATTGAGGGGTGGGACAGATTGGAAATTCTGGGGGAGGGGACACTTCAAAAAATGAAGGTACAGCGATGCAGCACATGCGAATTAGAATAGTATCGCTACAGCTACTAACATTGTCCAAACGTGATTCGTGGCGTTTGGCTGGTTCAAGTATTCAAATATTGAGGACACAGACATCAGCTCATAAAAGAATATGTCGAAATCATTGTCGGGGATCAAATGTTTCAACATCTCTGGCATCTAATATTCAGTAAGTCAAACAGTTCGAGTACAACGCAGAAGACAGAATTTCCATTTTTAAAGAACAAAACCGGAATCCAAGTTCGGAAATTGTTTTAAGTCTTGCTTGAATTTCGAACTTGAGCAAGCTTTTTATTTTGATACAAATTGTATAGCTAATGGCTGAACGCTCAATCTTTTTTTAGATTGGTAAACTTTTCTCAGATTTTTGTCACTTTTCGAATTCGAAGTTTTGTTCTATTATCGTCCTTCAAAATCTTCGGTATCCTCCAAAGAGACTTGAAATTTTTCTCAATACTTCTTCTTGGTTTGTGACCGAAAAATAACGGTATTTTCAAAAAGACAATGTTCCGAAATGTAGCGAAGTGCGAAAACCTAAACCCTCATGACTGTTCTTCTAATCTATTTTCTCATCTATTCCATCACTTTGCTTCTCTCGGTTCCAATTCGCGCCACAAAAAAAAACACACACTTAATTCCAAGAAAATTTATGTGAGTGACCTGTATCAGTTCCTCGATCGAACCCAAATTACCCGTGATGTATTTTCTTCTTTTTTTCTTCTTAGTCTTAATCATCTGAAACCGGTTCAAAGTGTTCACACCCACCACTCAACCAGCCCCATATAACTTTCATTTATGACTTCTTCCAATTCTCCCCCCCCCTCCTCCACGTCTTCTCCCGGTCTTTCAAGACAAACCTTGAGACTTCCAGTGAGTGATGTGTCTTTGTTTAGTTGCATTCTCAACTGTGTCTTTTCCATTTCCCACTGAGCTCGTTCCGACTCCACCATTTGATCCCGCCGCTGCTGTTCTTCCCATACATCGTTTAGTTGTCTTCTCAACTCATCTGCATGATTCACCACGGCGGACAGCTCATCGCACTTCTGAAAATAGGAGAAAGTAGTCTTTAAAGGGGCGGTGCTTAGGTCCTACTTTTTCTCGTTTGGCAAGACGCTCTTGTGAATTGGCTAGTGCTTTCTCAAGCATTGCAATATGATTCCGTTGCTCCTCCAACGTCTGATTCTGCGCCTCAATTTCCATTTTCTGTCGTTCCTTGCAAGCGAAAAGTTCCTGCCCTGAAAAGAAATAAGACGATGGACGGGAAAAGGGCCAGGAAATCAATCTAAAAACGTCTTTCTCTTTCTTTTCCACTTATTTTTTCTTGTGCTCTTACACTCTACTTTTTAAAAACGATTGTTACTTTGCTGAATTTCATTTAGCATCAGATTCGCCACCATTGTCGGTTCTGCATTCGCTTTCTCCAGGCGTAGTTGCAAATCGTCCCGTTCAGCGGTAAGTCTGAAAGAAGAGTATTGGCGTTTTTCACACATAACCCAGGTTTTCAGCACAATGGCAAATGATTGGGTAGGTTTTTTAAGTGAGTATAGTTCGATTGCTGTGATGCATGTTTCGTTAGAATGAATGATTATCTATGAAGGCCAAAAATAGTATACTTTTTAGGTGAAAGTAGATTTCGCATTTCGAATAAATGTTATAGACTTTTCTGAACTGTAAAATTAGGATTACTGTTGACAAACCGGAAGTATTCTCACTGTGCCAGGTTTGGCAGTATTGTAATAATTTGGTAGAAAGATTAGATTAAGAAAAAAAACAACTAATTTTCGCATTAGATATGTTCGTAAAAATTTTCAATATTGAAAAACCACATTTACAGTCTATAATTTTTAAAAAAGTTTTTAAAAACGAATTCTTTGATTTCAATCTTCTATTCGATCTTTTTTTCGAGATAAACATTTCTATCGCCGCTGTAAAATGAACTACCTTTTGATCGTTTTCTCCTGTTGAATAATCACATTTAATTCTAAGTTCTCTTGCTTTTTCCTCTCATTTGCCAGATACTCGTACTCTTGTTCTAATCGCGCATAAGAGTATTCAATCTGAAAGAAAAACCATTTCGAATGCCTTTCGATGAATATTTCAACAGACCTGCTGCAATTTTGAGAGACTCCTCTTGAATGCGTCCAGCTCTTTTTTCAAGTGCACATTTTCTTCGCGTAAAATTTGAATGAGCTTTTGATTGCTGGATACACTCTGTAAAATGCGTTTCGTCATAGTTTGTTTCGTTTTTTGCTTTTTTGTGCTCACTCTGTTTGTTTGGTTCAAGGTGGGCACATCTAGTCCTTGGTCTCCTGATGCCGACGCTCGACGTTGGTATGCAGATGTTGTCATTTTGGGCTCGCTGGGAGGGATGCTGGAATGTCGAACTTTTTAGGAGCTAAAAAATGAGCAACATCAGATTATTCGTTTGAATTAACTCAGTAGTTATTTACTTTAAGATATGAATCACAGTAATTACGAGAACAATTTTAATTCATAAATTAAAAAAATCTTGCCCAGTAATCAGGATTAGGTTTTTTGATAAATTAATTTGTCATGTACAAAAGTTTTTTTGAGGAATGATTGATTGATTGATGAACTTATCATTAAGTGTAATATTCAAAGTTTTCAAAATTTGACATTTGAATGTCACATGCAAAGCAAAATAAACCCACTCTGACGACCTTGAACCACTTGCAATAAGACATGGCTGAGAATGACTAATTGGGGATGCTGAAAAAACACAATTATGACCACTATCACTCAAATCCCCACTCACGCCCAGCACTTGAATTCAAATCCTTCCTACTGTTCGCCCTCTGCATGTTCATTTCCATCTGATATTTTTCGAGCATTTTTTGCAACCGCTTCTCGTCATCTTCTTTGCCTTTGGCTTGATGATTCATAACTGAAAATTGAAGAATTGTTTTTCAGGATCCCTGGTTCGGCACTGCTCACCACTCGCTTTCAGACTTGGATTCAACTGAGCCTCCTTTAGAAGTGAGTCCAAAATCTTCGTTTCGCCTTGATACATTGGCGTTGGGGGAACAGCATGGACACGCCGTTGATCGGAGCCCGTGCTATCGTTTGAACGCGGATCCATCATATCCAATCGATTCATTCACCCTGAAAAATGAGAGATTAAGAAGAAACTCACCCGATGCAAATGAAAATACTAGATGCAAATGAAATTAAGAAACATATCAAAAAATCTACCAGAAAATAGGCCAGCCTAGGATATCTTCTCTTTCAAGAAGCCGAAAAATAATAGAACGTTTTAAAAAGACTTGACCCACTCGGAACTCTCGTAATTAAATAATTACTGTCCGTTCAGGCGGAAGACTTCTGAAGTAAGAAAGCGAAAAGTCGATTAGGCAAGTTTACACTCTAATTAACACTGGATTAGAAGGATTTATAAGCGGTTTTGTAATCATCAATCATATTCCGCCGCACCGCCATAGAGACGCTTTCAAGAAAAAATCATTGTTGAAAAAAAAAAGGTGGTCAAAAGACAGAAATAGAGTATAACACAAAACAAGGAGAAGAGACGAATTCAAAAACAAAACTTTTGACAAAAACGCTTTCTGTACAAAACGTTTTTCACATCATGAGGTGTTGAGGAATGTGAGGAAAAGAACATGCAACATAATCACAGTTGATACGTTTTTCACTTAGTTGCGGGTGTCAGAACTATGTGTTTGAGTAGCCCCCGGCCGAATGTTGCGTCTCGGGAGTAGTAGACGGGTAAAAGAATCGATTGATCAACGATAGTGAGGCAAACGCACCGAGCGTATGGCCATACGGCCGCTCGGGATTCTCTTTCTTTTCCGTACTATATCGCTCTCTTTTTTCGACCCATCTGTCCAATTGCTACAAACTCCTCATCTTGTTCCCTTTCGGACCACACTGCCATCCGCTCCAACTGACCCGAAACATTTAGCACAAAAACTGGCACCTGCTACTAGCACCGAATGCTTCTTTTCTATCTCTCATTGACTTATATTTTTCGAATGTTTCAAAAATGTTATTTAGATTTTGAACATCATCTCAATATTTTGGTAAAAGTAGATTTCTCACTCGGTTACGGTTCTCAGGATCTTATTGAAAACTTTCCTATATCTCCCCGACGTCTCTCGTTTTGGGAATAGAAAAAACAACATATCATGCCGTCGTTCCATCCTTTTGCATCCGATACAATCTCGATTTGAATCCTAGATGTTTTCGATTTAATCATTAATCAATGTGAAACCAATTATTGTTCTTATCTATCCTAAAGTCATTTCTCATCCCCTTAAAAAATGAGAAAGCCATATTTATATGTATATATTACCATGTCTTCTCTCCAAAATAAATCTATCTTGTTTTCGAGTGACCCGTTGCGTCCGTCCCGACCCAACCAAACAGCAGTTTATCCCGTCCGCGTCCGTCTTCGCTCGTCTATGTCCCGTCCATTCCACACATCGAAAATATATTGGTAG